TGATGATACATATGTATGATTCCACTAAAAATACATTACACATTTACAGATGGATTCTTATGGAGTATAGATTTTATATAGAGAGGGGATGACACGCAGCAAAGGGCCGCAGGTTAGATTCGAACCCTGGGTCGCTGCAGCAAGGACTCAGCCTCGGTACATGGGTTGCCAGCTCTACCCACTGAGCTAACTGGGCGCCCCTTATGGAGTATAGCTATACTAAATGTGGAGCTTTGGTTTTCTCTTGGCATTTTATCCTCTCTGTGAGCTGTAGGTGAAACTTACTCACAGGATAACTACTGGTGCGATCCAATATACTGGCACTGTACTGTACTGCAAGATAAGTTTACCATCTGGGACAATAAATGACTGAACTGAACTGAAATTCAGTGACCTTTTGGAGACAAAATTGTCATCACTTCTTTGTTGTGTCTCATTAAACATCTGTGTGAAATTGTGTCATGATTACCACATCAGTTATTGAGTTATGGTCATAAATGTGGCACCATGACCTCGGCAAAGTGGACGTTGGTGCCAAGTTTGAAGAAATTCCCTGCAGCGTTCTTGGGCTGAGGTAACACAAAACCTTGAACTTTAACCTTTGACCTCTAAAATCTAATCAGTTCATCATAGAGTCCAAGAGGATGTTTGAGCTGAATCTGAATAAATTCCCTCAAAGTATTCCTGAGATATCACATTCACCAGAATAAGACGAAGGGAGACACGGCTATTGCCAGTGCAGAGGCATAAAAACCATATGTGTAGGTATAGTTATGGGTATAGGCTGCTCTAATGTACCGTGATCTCCTTGAGGTCCTTGTCCTGTAAGTTCTGCAGGGGGTCAATAAAGTTTTGTTTGACGTTTATGTCCAGGGAGTCCTTCACATCTGCCATCTGCCTCATGGCCTCACCCATATCCACCAGAGCATGGCCTGCAGGACAGACAGACAAACCACACTGTTACACGCAAATCATTTCATGACGTGCACCATGTTTGGGTTTTGGCTTCAGAAGCATGCTGTGTGTCTGTGAGTGTTGTTTTCAAATACTACATTTTTAAATCCAATAATATTTCATTTATAAATATCTCATCTGCCCCTTTAATCACTTAGGCTTTAAATATTCACTTGTTAAAATATTTCAGAACCTTCATTACATAGGGGGATTGACATGATTCAAAACTAAGAAAATGTATAAGCATACCAACGTGATGCATTTTCCATCCAAAGCCATCAGTTTGCTCCTCTATCAGCTGTCTCTGAGTGAAGCTTACATTAAACTGATCATCAATAGTTTTAACACAGTTCCATCCATATATGCTACCTTAATCAGTATTTGGAGGCCACTGCCCAACATCGTCAGTCCAGCTACTGCTGTCACTCTGCAGGCAGCAGCAGTCACACAGTTCTATGATATGCCACCGCAGTAACAGCAGCGGCACAACTAGATGGCAGAACTCACTAACCGATCGCTGGATTCTGGTGATTTTGAGCTTGAATCAACAGCAAATTAAAACAAACTACATTAACGTATTAAGGTGGAAGCTTCCTCATGAACTCCGGATCTCCCAATGAATTATCATTAGTAAATATCATCTCTCTGGAACTTTCTATAGCTCGAATCAGAGGTTTGGAGGGAAATACAACTGATACCCTGTCTAGGGCCCTGGAGAAAGTTAAAGTAACAGTTAGTGAAAAAATGTCTGTGACTATATATAGTTCATACCATTACCAAGATATGGTTTATATTGTTTTCCTGTGGCAGTTTTTGTTTTTTTGACATTTTTAATTTTTTTTGGTAAATCTACTTTTTTCATATTTATTTATTCTATTTTACCCATGTGTCATCCAGGGTGTGCAAGGAGAAGAAGGGTTTTATTTTTGTCAAGATTTAGTAGCTTATTACAGATGTATGTAAAGGCTGATGGTTTCCTGTTAATCTAACCTCCTGTTGTGAAGAATATACATTTGATCCCGCGAATTGTACTGTACTGTATATACGGGCCTGTTTCTAGTAAAAGCCTGTTCCAAATATTCAAGATTCTGAGCAACGTCATCAGTAAGATGTGCACACAGTGGGTAGAAACAAATGAGAATGACTGAGAGCTTATGTGTAGACCAACATAAAAAAGTGTTTTTTTAAACTTGATTACATAGCATTGTATGCATTTCCGTCACACAAAATCCAAATTCATATTATTGGTGTTTGTCACCAAAAAGGAACAATGGTATTTTATCCTGACACTGACAATATGTTTATGTGGTTTTATGAATGGACAAAACTAACTTTCAGAGGTAGCTGGAGAATCACACGAGAATTTTTAAACTGCACAAATCACAGCAAGAATTGAATCTATGCTACTACTATATTCTTTGTTATTGCTAACGTTACTTGTGTAGGGGGTGGTCTTGTCCCGTATGTCAGTTGGTTAACCAACCGGCCATCCCAAGAGCGCCTTTGCGTCCATTACCACTCATTGAGGTTCCATTTGAGCGTATTGGCATGGACCTCATTTTGTGCTTTTAACTGTGCTGCTTTGGAAATGCAAGCAGAGTGAAACATACAAAGTCACTTTATTTCTAAATACTGAGAGCCAATATGTAAGCTGCCATGATGTCGCGGCAACTCCACTATTTTCTGTAATATGAATATGAGAATTGGTACCAAAGACAGAGTCCTCTCCCAGTTCGTGGCCGTAGCGCAGCATGCAGTCTCCCAGCAGGCCTTCGGTCTGAGTGTAGCCGGTGGTCTTCACCTGCCCTCGGATCTTAGACACTGTATTCAGCATGTTCAGTTTGGCTCGAGAAGCTACAGAGGACAACAATGAATACAACACATGCTGGATTCAGAACAGCTAAATATTTAACAAAATAACATATGCTCTTTTCTTTTTACCTGGGTTAGGCTGGAGGTATTCTGTTGTTTTGGACAAGAGGTCAAACACTGACTTGTTGGTCACCTCAATTTTCTGATAGGAACAAGACAAGGTAGGAAAAAAGAGAGATATCGCAGTTAATGTGTGAATATATTTTCTGTCCTAATGGATATTTGAAACATTCAGTCAGTTAATGATTCTGTTGTCCAAGGTGGGCTCGTGGTTAAATATCCCAGTATTTTGAACAAAATGTGAATGAAGATAATGACGACTAATAAACAACAGTGCGACCATACTTTTTAACTTCAATACAGAGGCTGGCATGTGCCACTGGAATAAATGGTAAATAGCAAAATGGTGGAATAGTTGTACTAATAAATCAATAAAAATAAATCAATACATCCACTGCTGATAATAATTCATATTATTATTTTGGTTGCATTTAAAGCCAAAATATTGAAATAGAAATTTAGTTTAGACAAGATAGTCAGCTTTTGGGGAGGCGGTTACCCCTGTAACTTGTCAAGTCTCTGATTTTACTAGTTCGATTTTAGCGCCTTTCATAATCATCTGCGATGGGACAACATCATATTGGGTTTCTGCAGGTTTCAACAGGTTAAATGTAATTTTTTGTCACTAATATGAATGAATAAAATTTCCTATTTCACATCCGCACTGGACAGCATGATCGATACATTTTTTTCCCAAAAACACACATAAAAGCTAGACTGAAGATTTTACTTTGTACATAAATCAATCAATTTTTAAGACTTGTCAAAATTCTGTATTTCCACACAGTCATAAAAATAAAAAAGTGTTCATAGCTTAGTCATGAAATCCTAGTTCATTATAAATCTGACTTTGCTAGCACTCAGCACAAAACCTATTCACTGATCAGCCATAACATTGTGAGCACTGACAGATGAGGTGAAAAACACTGATTATCTGGTTAATCATGGCTCCTGTCAGTGGGTGGGATATATCAAATGAACATTTTGTCCTAAAAGTTGATGTGTTAGAAGCAGGAAAAATGGGCAGCATGAGGATTTGACGACTGGGTTATAGCATCTCCAAACCTGCAGCTCTTGTGAGGTGTTCCAGGTCTGCAGAGGTCAGTACCTATCAAAAGTGCTCCAAGGAAGGAAAAGCGGTGAACCAGAGACAGGGTCATGGGCCACCTCCGCCATAACCTCCGCCGCCCAACTGGGCCGCCTAACCTAGTCTAGTCAAGTCGGCGAATGACCGCGGTAAACCTGCCAGCCCAAAACCGCTCACCATCCATTTTTGGTCTTGGGCGTTGCTGGCTGCATTGCTGCGCCTATTACTTGAGGCCCTTCCAAGTAGTACCCCAGACCGACCTCCCTCCGTCCAACTGCACACTTCTTCGGTTCAGTGAGCACAGCCTGCTCAGCGACTCAACACCGCTTACTTGGATGAAACATCTCCAAGTAGGCAGCAGCTAACGCAAGTGCGGACCAGAACACGGTCCATAGCCGCTGGAAGTTGGCCAGGCACCAACAACCCGAACGAAGTGTAACAATTGGTACAACCTGTATGATTGGGGAGCCGTTTTTTCTCAGACTCTGGAGACATGGAATATCTGCCAGTAGCACTTGTTAAATCAGTAAAAAACGAGCATGCCCCAGACCAGGAGCCATCAACCCGGGGAATCGGGCATCATTCACCTTGCGATAGTCCACACGACCAAATAGCCAATCCTTCTAGCACAAGAAAAAAGGCTAACCAGCACTGTTGACTCTTCTGTTACTCCCATCTCCAACATGGCTTTCATTCCTTCTGAACCATTTTCTTTTGTTTCAGGTACTGATAGGTCATGACCACTTCACGCCTAGTGAGTCTCATGTGTGCTGTATG